TCTCCATGCCCTGCAAAATGCTGGAAAATCAAACAACGCTATATATATATATATATATATATGGTACCCCCCCCCCAAAGATTGACCATTTTCTGTGTTTTATCTCTGGTGACACATCCCAGAATCTGCAAGGTCTCGGGCTTCTGGCTTCCCAACTTCATCTTGCATCTGCCTTTTGGCTGCACAGGATGAACATGTTGAAAAATCCCGAAGAAATCAAAAAACAAAAAAACAATCAGGGTCCTGGGAGAGAATGCACAGGTCAGAATCTCGGAAAGTGAATAAACCTCGAAGAAATCAAAAAACAAAAATTAAAAAAAATCAAGGTCCTGGAACAGAATGCCCAGACCCAGTGACTATCTCTCTCAAGGCCTTGATTTACTTTTTTTGGTTTTTTGATTTTCTCGAGGTTTTTCACTTTTCCAGGTCAGAATCTCGGAAGGTGAATAAACCTCGAAGAAATCAAAAAATCAAAAAATCAAAAAAATCAAGGTCCTGGAACAGAATGCCCAGACCCAGTGACTATCTCTCTCAAGTCTCAAGGCCTTGATTTATTTTTTGTTTCTTTTGTTCTTTTGATTTCTCGAGGTTTTTCACTTTTCCAGATTCTGACCTGGGCATTCTCTCCCAGGACCCTGATTTTTGAGTTTTCTTGATTTTTTTGATTTCTTCGAGGTTTTTGCAGCTTCATGGGTTTCTTGCCCTTCGCCCCTGAGCATCTTCCTTGCAGTGTTGGAGCTTTGGCGTACAGAGCTGCAGTTTTGCAGCCCTGCCAAGTCTGTATTGCAACCAAAGCCTGCAGTGTTGGAACTCTTGTTGGAAATGCCTTGCTTGCCTGTAGTTTGGCAGCCTTGCCAGGGCAGCAGGGAAGCCTGCAGTGTTGAAACTTTGGCAGGTGAGGCGCTCAAGTCTTGCAGTGGCCTTAGTTTTCAACTCTTGCCAAGTGGGTTGCAGTTTTGAGCTGGAACCCAGTTTGGCAGCTTGCTTGGGCAGTGTGCTGGAAGTGCCAGTTTGGTGGTGGAAGTCTTGTAGCAGGTCCAACACTGCAAGGCTTTCCAAGCAAGTCTGCTAAACTGCAGGGCCCTGGCAAGGTTGCAAACTTGCCAACCTGCAAGGGCTCCAACACTGCAGGGTTGCAAAACTACAGCCCTTGCCAACCTTGCCAACCTGCCAAAGTTTCAACACTGCAGGCTTCCCAATTGCTGCAAGGTCTGCCAAACTACAAATAAGGCTGCAAAATCCAAACTGCAAGGCTCCAACACTGCAGGCACACCCAACTGCAAGGCTTTTCAAGCCTGCCAAGCAGTCTGCTAAACTGCAGAGCAAGGTTGCAAACTACAACCTCTTGCTAACTCAACACTGCAAGACTTCCCAAGCAAGGCTGCCAAACTACAGACCTGGAGGTTGCAAAATTGCCAATCCAATCTGCAACCAACTGCACCAACACTGAACTACAGACAAGCGAGTTCAAACAGAAGCTCCAACACAGGCCTGTTTGCAAAACAAACTTGGGAGCTCTGTCTGCCAAAGCTCCCACACTGCAAGGAAGGCTTGAAACTTGGTTGCTGGCCCAGCGCAACATTCCAGAATTTCCAGCAAGGCTGCCAATCTGCAGGGCAAGGCTGCAAAAAACTGCAACCTGCCAACCTGCCAAGTTTCAATACCAGCTGGCGCTGCAGTGTTGGAACCTTGCAGGTTGGCAATTTTGCAACCTTGCCAGGTCTGTAGTTTGGCACCTTTGCTTGGGCAGTGCTTTGGCAGGTTGGTAGGGGTTGCAGTTTTGCAAAGCCTTGCAGTGTTGGAGCTGAAGCCCTGCCAAGTCTGTTTTGCAACCAAGGCCTGCAGTGCCTGCAGTTTAGCAGACTTGCTTTGCCAGGTCTGTAGTTGGCAGCTTTGCTTCGGCAGTGTCTTGGAAACTCTTGAAGTTTTGAAACTTCAGGTTGCCAGGGGCTGCAGTTTTGCAAAGCCTTGCAGTGTTGCAGCCCTGGCAGGTGCGCAATTTTGCAACCGTCCTCAACAACACTGCACTTGAATGTCGACCCCAGCATATGCACATCTGTTTCCTGCAATAATGCACCGCATCTTTCTCAAAACACAGAAAATGGTCGATCTTTGGGGGGGGATATCATATATATATATATATATATGTTAGAATAATTCACCCGGGTTCCGCTGCCGGGTACCGTTGCCCCGCCCGTCACCGAACTTGCGCCTCCTGCTGGGTGTCTCGCAACTGCCGTCGCACCTCCTCACGCTCCGCCTGTCTCTGGCAGAGAGCCTTAAACCAGGCATCCCCGCGTGTGTTTGCCAGGGCACCCTCCGTGGGATGTTGTTGTTGGGAAACCAAAGTCCACCGGATATGTCACCTTTAAACACGGCCTTGCAGAGACTCAATCCAATCCAACTTGGCCAAGGGGGGACGGTTTTAAACCACGCAACAAGGGGACATCCAACCTCACACACAAACAAACATTCGAACCCTGGCAAAGGGGGACGGAAGGAGGCGCATCTGAATTTCTACCCGAAGATGGTTTGATTGTCTTTTTTGGGGGCAACCCTCTCTAAGGACACCTACTTGACTCAACCTCTGAAAACAAGTTTGTCTGATTCATATTTCGTCAACCCCAAAACAACACATATGCACCCCCCTCCATGAACCCAGGTGTTGCTGTCTTTTTGTGGGGGTACCATACATACATATGTATACATAATATGTATATGCTGAATATGTATGTATATATAAACATAAAATATAATAAGCATATCGCAGGAGAGCCCAGAGTTGAATTGCCCGCCTTGCCTCCATGCGCGCAAACTCGCCCCGGCGCTGCGCCAACATCTGCTCCGCGGAGCTGAGGCGCCGCTGCTGGAAATCCACCTCCCGGGCAGCGGAAGGACGAGGAACGTGACTTGGGGAATTAGTTCTTGTACAGATTCTTGCTGGTGCTCAGGGAAGGGAATGAACCTGGGGGTACAAACTCTTAAAGGAAACCACCAATAGGTGTCATTCCCTCAATCCCTGCTGAGCACCAGCAAGGATTGGCTTGAAGGGACAGATACCCTGTAGTTGGGTACCTATGAACTCTTTTCGAGGGTGATGAAATTGTTTGTCCTTTGCGAGGGTGCCAACTTGTAAAGGTTGGTTTCAGGGACATCAGGAGAAACAAACTTTCATGGGTTGACACTCATTGGCGTTGGCCGCTGTTTACAAGTTGGCTGACCCACCCTTCCATCCAACCTCCTGCATGCAAACCCTGGCAAGAAATGGACGGCAGGCGCGCTAACTCCAAGAAGCCGTGTCACCAAAAACACTGGCACCACCCTCACCCCCGACCCTCAACAACTTCTGATGAAAAAGGTTCAAAGGGTGGGGGTTGGGGTTGGGGGTGGGGGGGTTCGTTGATCAAAAACAGCTTCATCAGAAAGGTTTAAAGTTTTATGATGAACTTCTGAAAGCCTCACAACTTGCTGATGGGCACACGCAAGCTCTCCTGACACCTCGTCAGTGGTCTGTCTGAGAGCAACGCAATCAGCTGTCTCTCTCCAGGGATGGGAGATTTCCATCCAGGTCCAAATTGTCCTTTTGGCTTCACTTCGGGATCCTTCCTTCTAGAAAACCTCAGGAGACTATGGACAACGGCCAGTTTTTGATAAGAACCATGGTTGAAAAGAATGCGAAATCAACGCCTAGAAATCTGTCCAAAAAAGGGGTTCCACATTTGAAAACAACCCGCGCTGTAGAGGAGGAACCACTGGAAAGCCAAAGGTCTTGATATTTCGCAACCACCTTCTGTAGGGTTTCTGGGATTCCCCCCGATTTGACCCTGTTCATTGCGGGACGCCCAAAACAGGCGCCTTCCATTTGCAGACGTCCATCACACCGGCCCCGAAACGCACCTGCTGCTGAAAGACTGCGCAGTAGTCCGCCAGCTGTTGGCGCTGGGACCGCAGGTTGGCCTCGATTCACCGATTGAGCGAATCGGATCTGGGCAAATGGTTCTTCCATCATGCGAAACTATGGCATGCCCAGGCAAGTCCCCGGATGAGGGATCTTCATGGGTAAGCGGGTTTCAATCTCGATCTGGGTGATTGTTCTGATGTCTCCAGAATGTGGGTGGCTCATAGGGACCCACCAAAGTGGGCTGAAGACCGAGCCAAGGCTCTGCTATTTGTGAGCCATGGCTTCCTTGAAAAACTTTCAACAGGCCTAAACCGCTCTGGGGTTGAGGATCATCCCAACCCCAAGCAAAGGGGTGTTTTGGCTATGGCACATGTGAGGCAACTGCCTGCTTTTCCGGAGAGCAGATTGGAGACCAGCTGTGGTCCGTTTGGGGCTGGTGCGGGGTCCCCGAAACAAAGGTGAAGACGTTGGCTCATCTTCAACAAAGCACAAGCAAATCATAACTCAGCCTGACAAAAGCCATTTTTTGGGCTTCCACGCGGCTGCGGACAGCCACCGTGTTGTTTCCCCACGAGTCTTGAGCGCCATGTGAGCCCCTCTGTTTCTGTTCTCTTGGGAAATTCCGGGGCCCCCCATATCCTCCCCAACAGTAGACTGCCAATCAGGTTGTCAGTTGCTGCGAAGATCACCTCGCAGCTCCTGTTCGTCAAGCCCAGGCGCTTGTCCATCAAGCAAGGCGTAGGTGGCGGCTTGGGCATGCTGGATTTGACTTTCAGCACTCATGGCTTGAGCTTAAGCTGAAGCTGGAAAGGATCAAACACAACACGCCCACTGCACCAAGCCACCGCAAAAAGGCCGAAACCCGGCAGCGAACTTCCGGCTGTCGGCACACGCTTACAACTCTCACCAACATGGAACCTAACTGGTGTGGTCCTTTCAGCCAACAGGTCCAGGCCTGCTGGGTTTGTCCAGGGATTTAGACCTCAAAATGGTGGCCTTCCTCTTGGTTTCCCCTTTGACCAAGGTCAACAGCGTGCCTCCCAAAAACACACACACACACAGACACACACAGAGAAACCCTTCGGCCCTCCATGCGCGCCTGCTCCAGCTCCCCACCTGAATTTTCTGGAGACGATGGGAGTCGGCGGGCCCGCTTGAGGCCCCCACCTAGTAGTAACTTCTTGACACTAGCAATTCAGCTAAAAATGGCTCTTAGTCTTCACAACCATTGCCACACACCACCCAATGACCATGATCAACCCCAACTTCCCACAGAATTGTGTGAATTTGGACATCCTCTAGGGGTTTGTGTCTACAAAAAAGTTCTCCGTTCAGCATCATTGCACGGAGGGTAAATAAAGCTGGACCAGACATGTTTAAATTTCAGGCAACCATCTTTGCCATCCCCAGGCTCTTTTTCAAATAAGAGAAGATTGAATGCATCAGCCACCTCAAGCGAATGCTCAGAAGTACACCTGACTAAGCTTGATCTGTAGCTGCCAGTGATTCAGCATTAGTTTTAGGTAAGCCCAAAAAAGCGACGAACCCTTTTGGTTCCTTCCAAGGGATCACCTGGCGCCAAGGCGCCGAAGTTTTCTGGTTTCCGTTCGCATTCTCCCGCTGACATTGGTTTTGTCTCCCGGGGAACAGCGCCGGGCCCAGAGGCTTTGGAGGCTCAACTTCGGGCCCGTTGTACCCTCCCCCAGCCTAACATGGAAGCTCCCAGGCCCCCTTCTGATAAAACTTGGTTCCATTTACAGAGGCCTTCTGGGAGCTTCCACGCTAGTTTGAGGCAGTGTATCACTGTTGGTACTGCTGGCCTCAGTTGACGACTCGTTCTCGTGGCACGCGGTGTCCGGCCTTGCAACCAGCATGGACGGCATGGGCGACCACCTGGCCCGGAGAGGGCCCGAGTTGATCTTGGCATTTCAGGTATCCCAACAGAAAAGCGATCTGCAAGACCCTCAGGTTCTCGATCTGTTTTTGGGAAGGCATCCAGGCATCACAGAAAGAAACATGAACTTCCGCCGTAATTGCCCATCAAAACCAAGTTGTTCTTTGCATGTCTTGTAGAATCTGCTGTAGAATTTCCGAAGGCGGGTGTTTCCTAAGTTTAAGATTAGAAGATAGGGCACCCGCCTCTTGTAGAATCCTAGCCAGGGCGAGAGTCACAAGAGGCTCTTGAATTCGGAATAACCTAAGCGGAAAGAAACAACAACGCCGGCGAACCAATTCACCTCATCTTACTGTTACGGGTGTCTGCCGCAAATTGGAAGGCTCCCACAAGCGAAAGGGTTTCTCCATCGTGGGCTCCCATTGGCCTGTTTACTCTTCCTACTTCCTGGCAAATTGGCCCGAACCACGCCCAGTTAGGTGAGCTCAGCATACCAACATCAATGCACACAACTAGCAAGCCGTATCCTCATACATATATATATGGTCACCCCCCCCTGCATGACCTACCGTTGTCTTTCAAAAAGTCGTTGGGGACCATTAGCAGACAAGAAAAAAGTGAAAAAACACATGTTTTTTATGGTTTTTGATTAAGAAACAACACAGTCAACCATTGAACAATTAAGAAAAACCAGTGTGTTTTGATGGTTTTAGCAAAAAATGTGCAAAAACCCATGTTTTTTTAGAAAAAAACAGGAAAGCATTCAAAAAAACAAGTGTAAAAACTGATATGTTTTTCAGATAGATCCCTAAGTCAAAAACTAAGAATTCCCTGGGTTTTTGATGGTTTTGCAGTAAAACCTTCAGAATTCCTTGGGTTTTTAGCATTTTTCACATAAAACCAAGAACACCTCGAGAAAACCAAGAATCCAAGAATCCAAGATTTTCAGGTAGATGTTTGGTCCACTACAAAATCTTGGATTCTTGGTTTTCTCGAGGTTTTCTTGGTTTTCTTGGTTTTACTTGGGAATTCTTGGATTTCCAGCAAAAAACCAAGAATTACTAGGGTTTTTTTGGATTTCCAGCAAAAAACCAAGATTTACTAGGGTTTGTTTGGATTTCCAGCAAAAAACCAAGAATTACTAGGGTTTTTTTGGATTTCCAGCAAAAAACCAAGATTTACTAGGGTTTGTTTGGATTTCCAGCAAAAAACCAAGAATTACTAGGGTTTTTTTTGGATTTCCAGCAAAAAACCAAGATTTACTAGGGTTTTTTTGGATTTCCAGCAAAAAACCAAGAATTCCCAAGTAAAACAAGGAAAACCAAAAAAACCTCGAGAAAACCAAGAATCCAAGATTTTGTCGTGGGCCAGACATCTACATGAAAATCTTGGATTCTTGGATTCTTGGTTTTCTCGAGGTTTTCTTGGTTTTCTTGATTTTACTTGGGAATTCTTGGATTTCCAGCAAAAAACCAAGAATTACCAGGGTTTTTTTGGATTTCCAGCAAAAAACCAAGATTTACTAGGGTTTTTTTTTCCAGCAAAAAACCAAGAATTCCCAAGTAAAACAAGGAAAACCAAGAAAACCTCGAGAAAACCAAGAATCCAAGATTTTGTCGTGGGCCAGACATCTAACACAACAGAAATACCAGCACCAACTGAAGACGAAGAAGAAGAACCACAAAAAGATAATTTTGAAAAATTGAAATCTTAATAATAGCATATATAATGGGTATTGGTAAAAGTAAAAATAATGAAAATAATAGTTTGGAAGACATTAAGAATTTAAGTATAGATGAAAAAACACGAGCAGACACTTTAATTATTAAATCTCTTCAAGAATGTGTGACACGAATTGAGAAACTAGAGAAAGAAAAATCTGACAAATTAATATATAAACTTCCTGCCTTACAATTTTGCAATGCTTCGTTAATTTAAATTAATAATATTAACATATAATAATATTATTGATTGCTATCATAATCTGTCATTTTATCCTCTGGTATTGTTGTTGAAGTAGTACTACTTATATCATCTATTAAATCTTCTTCATCAACAAAATTATTTTGACATCTTAATAATTCCTCGTCTGTTGCCCTTCTTTTCAATACTTTATAAAGTTTATGTATCCAAGAATTAGTATGAAAAATACAATTACCTCTACGATAAAATCCACCACATCTACATAGGTTCATTGGCATATTACTATATTATATTAAATTATAATATCTTTATTCATCATTCGTAATTTGAAATGCCTGTTCAAATCTGATATGAAACATTTTGTTAATGTCTTTAGCATTCATATTCACGTAGAAGAAACTATAAGGTGTGTCATTAACGGCTTGATGATACATATCTAATAATTGCTGTTTATCAACAATGGCGCTATTTTCTTCAATAAAACTCATTAACTCACTTGCATTTTTCAACCTAATGAACTGGCATTTAAACGAATGATAGGCACTAAAACATTATATTTTGTGTTGAACCAATTACACTTACTGCATCGTGCCTGCCTCTTGTAAAAAGTCCGTGTAATAATTTACTATATCTAACAAATTTAGGATTGTCTGCGTGGTCATCTACGACGATAAATATTGAATGCGTGGTCATCTATAACGATTAATATTGAATGTAGTTTCTTTATCTTTTTAGACTTCATATAATTAATTATTTTCTTCTGTCTTTCAATTACATTTTCTAAATCACTTGGATTATAATTAGCAAAATAAATTTGTTCTTTTTCATCATCCACGTGCAATTCATCCCTGATGTATTTTTTAACTTCTGTAAAAGTTGGGTCATTATGAACGCTGGGGGAAAATATAAATATTCCTGCAAATGAATTTCTATAAACATTCAAGATAAGGGTTTGGACTAAAACTGTTTTGCCTCCCGTCGATGAAGCAACTATAATACTTCTAAATGGTAATTTTAGCACGTGCTCATATGTGGATTGTTTGAATTCATATTCAGTTATGTTTATTGGTTTTATTATTGGGACATCTGTCATAGTTGATATTAAAGAAATATAGAAAATTATATTTAAAAAAACTTGTCATTAATATTAAATGGAACATCATTATGTTATGAGTGGCGGTGAATAACATAATGGAACAGGTTTTCCATTGCTTCAATCAATAAGCATTGAAGATAATTAGTTTTGTGTTTTGCTCGCGTGTGCAATGAAAACCAAGTGCTGTGCCGGGCAAATGATAGATGAGATCCTGCTTTTTTTTAGCTAAAAGGTAGGTCATGCAGGGGGGGGTGAGCATATATATATATATAAATATAAATATATGTATATATATATATGTCCATTTCTATTGCCCAGTGCTTTGGAAACAAAGCCCTTCCAACTATGTTCTAAGCTGATCTGTCGGGCTTGCTGCACTGCACAACAGCAGTCGAGAAAGTGGCTTTGATCACATGTTCAGATGCCAAGCTTCCCAAGCCGGGCTCCGTTGCAAGTTCTCGTGTCAGTCTCTTTGGCTCCCGCCTGTTGCAAGAAGGGTCGTAACACTCCACACTTCGGACAGGTTGTGGTCCAGCCCATCCTTGGCTTGGCTCGGCTCTGTTGACGAGCAATCCACCCGCTGGGGCCGCCGCCACCGCACACGTAGATCTTGCCAGACATCACCCCTGCAGGGCTTTGCAAAAGCCAACACCTCGCATCTTGAAATCTTAACATCTCATGTGCATCAGCCATGTCGTGTGCGTGAGTCTCGGCACTTGTCCTACCCCAGTCCATTCTTCCCATGGGGTGCTATAGCGAGCCACCTGCGCAGGTGTATTGCCTCGCTTCGGTCATAGGAGGAAGCACCTGGCGTCGATGACTGCATGAGGAATGCGCATGTGGAAGAACCTATGATTCCTAAATGGGTGTCTCTGAAATTCGGGGACCCCCCAACAACGGTTTGTTTTGTGGGGCCTTCCAGTGTAGTACTGTAGAGCCACTCCAAACAGGGTTCCCTATTTGGAGACAGACCCAAATCTTGTTTTGGCCTGGTATTGTGGGACGGAGACAATAAGCCTAAGAGAAAAACACGTTAGCCGTTTTTTGTTGTTGTTGGGCAACACTCAAACGCTGACATGCTCGCGCCTCCCACACGCCAGCCTCGGAGCTTCTTTGAGTGGCACCCAGTCTTGTCAGGTAGTTGAAACTTGTCTCAACAAGTCCAAAACAAACAAAGCGCCGTATCTACATTCCCTTCTGAGGCGCTGCAAGTCTGCCTGGGAGAGTAGTAGGCATTCTAGACACTCGGGTGAATGTTGTAGTGCAAACTCTAGTGCTAGAGTAACCGTACCAAGGTGATCCGTTTCTTGACCCCTCGATGGACCATCCCCATCCGTTGACTCCAGGATTGACCATCCATCCATCCATCCATCCAAAACAGACCATTCATGCTTAAGCCTGAGCAGCTTGTGTCAAACCAGCTTACTTTTGGTGCTGAAGGCCCTTTTTATCTGCGCTAACTTCTTTCTCCCTTGGAATCTTCAATATCTTACATTAACAACTAAATTAAAAAGCAATAGAAAAGAATCAATAAATGGTGCGGGATTCATCTTTAGGACTTGCCTGCCATGTTTTTAAACTATCCAACAATCAACATTCTAGAGCAGGAGATAGACCGAAGGTGGATATAGGATTATGCAATCATGTCCTTTACCTTTTCTTCTTTGGTAGAATTATCTTTATGGAAATATTACTTGTGAATTCTTATAGAATTTCATCTGTTTATCTTAGCTTTTATGATTCCTTCCTTCTTGGTTCTTAGTATAATTGTAGATGAAAGATATGTAGACAGACTGGATATGAACATAATGTGTAAGTGACATGTAACAACCATTGGCACATAGCTGAGGTGCTCCAAAGCCAAGCAACACAAAACTCCCCAAAGAGAGGGCTCGCCATCCCCAAACAATCCACCACCCCGTTGACCGTAGTTTCACGCCAGCTGTTCGCCCGGGGTGAATAAAAGGGGCTGCGAGCGACGTTGGCATGAGTTCCCTCACCCGCCAAATTGAGTCAGTCTTGAAGTAGGTGAAATGTAAAAATGGATTGTTTGCTTTAAAATAACCCCTACCCGGGTACCCTCAAGAAAAGAAGAAAGTCCCATGTGAACTCGCAAACAAATGTCACATGTCCCTCCCAGAGGGCCAAAGCTCCAAAGCTTCCACGCTCAAAGCCCGAAATCGATTCGCCTGAGCTCCCAGCGTGAGGGTCCAACCGCTCCACAGAGCTTAGGGCCAGCTGGCCTACCCAAATGGGTCTTTCTTTGAGCGTTTGGTTTTACAGGGATGCCAAAAAGAAACCACCACATTTTGGGAGTAACCCATTTCAAGACAAACCCAATTTCAATGGGGGCGGGGGGCTTCGGAAAATCTGGGAAAACCAATTGAACCTTCATTGGTTGCAGAAGCCATTTGAATCCAACGGGCAAAGGGCAAAGGTCACACCAAAGACCAGCCATTGGCGAGGTCACGAACCCGTTTGTCCCAAATTGTTGTGTTGCTCTTTACATGGGACCATCCTTTTAATGGAAAATTAAACCTCTCCTTTTTGGCGGTCAACATAGGCTCTGAGCCTTGGCAAACCTCAACAACGACGAGATCCAACCGTGAGCTAACCTTCGAAGCCGCCGCACAGGTACAAATGTCCTGTCGCCGTCCCGCTTGAGGCTGGAGAACGGTCCCCGGATTTGCACTGCTGCAAGTCTAAATATGTATGTATATATATAAAAAAGGAAGCTCAACATTTCAAGCCCCTTCCAAACTGGCTGGTGCTTAGCAACCTCCGCATGACAAACTTGTTCCCGCAAAAGGACGTGGGACGATAACCCCATTTTTCGCGGGGAATTGGGATTTGCGCCTCACGTCCTCCCAAACTACACCTCGACCCAACTCTGAGGTATACAAAGAATCTGCTCTCATTCTGTTTCATATTTAGTCCATCTTAATTAAAATATAACTCTGAGGAGATGGTAGGAACCAGTAGACTACCAATATTGCAGGTGCCGCTCTTTTCGGGATTCGATACAAAAAGCAGCGCCTGATGTCAGCTCACAAACCAAGGAAAGTCCTATAGGTCCCACAAATGACATCCATTTGCTCAAGTCCCCTGGAAAAAAAAGAAAATATTTCCTGTAGAGATAGTTTCCCATTAAAAACAACAGGGGAAGATTAAAAAAAAAGAAGAAGAAAACAACATATTCTTAAGCAAATGGAAGATGAACATGGAACCCCAGAGAGGCCCTCCTTAGAGGACCGGTCCCAGTCTCCTGGGCACAGCCGGCACAGGGCGTCCTCGGCAGCAGGTCGGGCCGCCTGAGACGCCTGGGCTCAGAGGCTCGATCTTCGCAAGGTCGACTTGGGAAGAGGTACATGGATGTCTTGTTTTGAGGGGAGGTGTGTTTGGTGGTTTTAAAGAAGCAAAAGGACAACCACCATTTTGAGGGTTGCCCTTTTCTGAGACACACCCAGTTGTGTCTGTGGGAGTTTCTCAGCCTTTTTTCATCTACCCTTTACTAGCAATTGACACAAGCAAGGGAACATTACCTCTTTCCTTGTTGGACAAAAGACACAGTGCTACCACTGGCGAAAGTGCTTGTTTCCAGTGGAGTGGAGGGCAGTCTCAAAAGAGAGAGGCGAAGGACAACGTTCCACATGCAATGCCTGGTTTAGTCAAACAAAACACGCAGTTCTTAAATCTGGTGTCTCCAACTCAGTTGGATTCTTCAGGCGATGGCTGCGATTGAAATGGAACCACCGTGACAACCCATCTTTTAAGGGTGCCTAACTTTTCAGGAGCCTTCTGTCAGTTGCAGGTTTGTATTTGGGCGGGTACGGTACGGCCCATGGTTCTTGAGCGACCATTCAGGATAGGTGTTCGTGCACACCAGCCAAATCCAAATGATTCAATGACCCAACGTTTTAGCACAACCTCTTGATTGTCAAAGGACTCGCGTTTCCGTCGCGAGTCCGTGGACCTGCTTTGGTTCTATGTTGGTGCACATCTCGCGGTCCAACGGATGTTGACAGCCGCTTGCCCAGGCAGAAGGGTTCCAAGTCCGGGGATCCTTTTGTGCTTGCTTTTTCAAAGAAACCGCTTTGATGAGACTGTTTGGCCCACCCCAGTTCTTCGAAAGAATCATTTCGGAACAGCTGCCCCTTTACTCCTTTGTGGTGAGTCGTTCAGGGAAGCAAGTTAGCTGTTTGGGGGCCGTCCAAACTTTTGAGCAACTCTGAACCTTTAAACACACGGTTCAAATTTGGGAGACCGGGGTGACGAGCTCCAAATGTCAATCGCATGACAAAAAGCCAGGGGACGAGCCCTAAATGTCCTATGTGCGGGAAGCAATTCATCTTGATCGCGCCCCTCCCATTTCACCCGGGGAAATGGTCCTTCAAGAAGTGATCTTGGTACCCTCCAGGTTCGACTTGTTGCGAGGAAGGGTAAGCCAACAAGGGGGTCCCAATGTTTCCACTTCAAAGGTGGCTTCAAGCATCCTACTTTGGGAAGGCCCACTTCTATGGTAGTGTCGACCAAGCCAAATCTTTGTACCCAGCTTCGATTTGTCGGAACAACCAGCCTTTGACGACGCCATCTCCGCGCCTCGGAGAGCGCCCTCATGGCGGAGTACCCGGCGAAGCTGCCCACGGCCATGGCGACAGCCTGGAGCCGGACATCCTAAAGGACCTTTCGGTAAAATAGATTCGGGTTTGATCAACAAGTGCTTATATATAACTGTAGATGACCATCGGGGAAAACCACTGAAAAAGTGATATTTCCCACCAAATGGGACAATACTGCCCATGGTCATTTAAGACTGATCAACCCCCAGATGGCTCTGGTAGATGGCTCATGCAACCAATAAACCAGTGCGGTATGAATTTCTAGTCAAACTGACCTAATAAGGACACCTAGGAACACCCGCCGAGGTGATTAGAGGGTGGGTGGACTTTGAAACCAAATTAAGCCATTGTCGTAAGACAGCACTGTAGTTGTTTCGCCTTTTATGATGATGTTAGACACGAATGAGGGTTCTTTTGAGGGGGTTGTCAGACAACTAAGGTTACACAGTTGGTGTCTTACTATTTAGTGAATCAGCCGTATCCAAATTGCCCTTGCCTTGTCGTTTCCACAGGGCTTGTTAGAATAAACAGGGAACCTTTCTGAGGTGCTGAAATCAAGGCGTAATCTGCAATCTGGGCTTTTCAAAATCGGCAGGAACTCGCCAACGAATGCACCTAGCACACACACACACACACACACATGTTTTCTCATTCATTCTCGAAGTCGTCCCGCGTGGCAATGTCACGCAGCAGCTGCATCATGAGGGCGGAGTCCCTGTATTCTTCGTCTGCCAAATCGTCCAGCTTCTCCAAAGCTGCGAAAAACGAATGCTGCGCTTTCCTGCGCGCAGCCTGCACGTTGCCCTGGGTGTCAGCGATGAAGTCAGCAAAGTTCAATGCAATTCCCAAGCGCAAAGGGCTAGTGGCTGGCATCTCTCGTTCCGCAAGGACCTCTGCCTGACTGTAGCAGTGAAAAGCCATATCAGCCGCTAACTTCTTAGCCTCGCCCCCTTGGTCCTCAAGTTCACACCTGAAACGGTAGTAATCTCCTTGGATCTTTTGATAAAATACAATGCCCTCAGCCTGGCCGGCTTGCGGAATAAGGCCATTCAGCAAACCGAGCATTTCATCAATGATAGACCGCTGCTCCTCCTCGATCTGGGCGCGGTACTCCCGGTTGTAGTCTGACATGCTGCCTTCTCTCGGTACCATCCGCAAGGCATGGCGACGTGAATGGAGGGCATTGTTGTAGGCCACGACCAGCATTGTACGCTCCGTCTCTGAAAGGCTGAAACTCTCTTGGGTCACTGCCAGCATATGCTGCCTCATGTCGTCAAATAATTCTGCCGTCTCCGCCAGCTGGGCCAAGAAGAGGGACTTGCTGCGGGTCATGGGCCAAAGGAACCAGCTTTACAGCACCGCGCAGACCGAACAGCCTTCAACCTTTCAGCCCCGTATCTGAGCCAGAAATGGAAACAAAAACGCACAAACACGGGGAAACCATGACAAAGGGAGCCTTCTTGTGTGACGCGTAAGCCCAAATAGTTCATACAACTATCAACCTGCTGGGTTTTCGGTCGCGAGCCAAAGCCCTGTCGCCACAATGCTCGCGATACACAGATCCCGCCAAGAGATCAATCTCACGAGATCTTGCGCCGAGATCCTGTTAACATTTTCCAAAGATATCTTGCGCTGGTCCTTCACAGGGATCCTTCAAAGAGCTCTGGGCGGGACCTGGAAAGATTTCCCGCCAAGTGATCCCTACAGATCTTGAACACAGAAATTATACATATCCTGTACACACATCTTGCCTGGAGACACAAACATGCGTTCGATTATATTTCGCGCTGGCCCTTCGTAGTGACCTCTGACAAGATCCTCTCAAGAGGTCTCGCGCAAACCATCTCAAGGATTCCTGTGCACAAACCTTGCCAAGAGACATCCTGTCCAGCGATCTTGCCAAGCGATACTGCAAGAGATTTTGCACAGATCCTGTAAAAGCCCAAAGATGCCTTGCGCCCAAGAGGTCTGCCGCAAGACCTTCATAGAGATCCACCCAACAGATCTTGCGCAGGACCTGCCGAGGTTCATGTTCGAGACATCTTGTACGTAGAGGACGCTCTCTCAGACCCTGAAGAAAGAGCTTGCAGAGGGTTCTCGCGGAGTTCCTGCACACAGATATTGCCAAGAGTTCCTATCAAGAGACCACATCCAGAGATCCAGCAAAAATCCATCCACAGGGAGCTTGCCCAGGAAATGACAGAACACATAGTATATGGGTATGTGTTTTTTTGACGTGGCCGTGCCGGGAGGTTGGCATAAGGGGTATGAATCGCAGGTATGGTTCGGGGTATGGCTCGGGGGTATGATTCGGGGTATGGCTCGCGCGCCTCTGAACTCTTGCTTTGTGGCTTTGGACACTGCAAAGCTCCCGTGCGCTGGCAACTGGATAGCCGTGAGATTTGGACCGCTTAGTTGCTACAAGCCAGCCTGGGGCGCTTGTGAGTGGCCTGAACTAGACAGCTGCCACTCTGCGTGAGTGGGTTAGCGAAGCTGCTGCGCTAGCAGAGCCACTGCCTGTGGCGAACGTCATGGCCACCTCCACTTGGAGTTCAAGCGACCCGCGCGCTCACAGACCCAAGCAAGCGTTGCTTAAGGGGAAGCGTGCCCAGTCAGGCCCGCCACGAACCAGCGTAAGGGCAAGACAGCGTGACATCCTCAAACAGCAGCCGCGCAGAGGCTAGTGGGCCTTTCACAGGTGGTGTACTGTGTCGCGCTTGATACATTGCAGTAAGCCTTCCGAACCCACCTTCTGGCGAACTTCTGCGAAAAGAGCCGTGCGCTGGTTCCTGCAGTGCTTCTCTTTGAGTTTTGTGTCTTCTGAGGATTTGGGCATAGTACTGCCCAGAGCGCAAGAGGCTCTTGGCTGCAAAGGCAGCAGAAGGGTATGAATCGGGGTATGAATCGGGTATGAATCGGGGGTATGAATCGGGGGACATATGTTTTCGACCGGAAAAACACCAAGAGTACCCCAGGAGCACAAAGACAGCTTGTGTTTCACTGCGACAGTGGCCCAGGACAGACAGCTGTTTCCACCGCGTCGGACAGACTGCAGGAAGCAAGCTCCAAGTTTCAAGCTCAGCAGCGGCACCCCCCGCCACAGCGCCCTGCAAGTCCCAGCGTCTTACGTCAAGCTGCACCCCCCCGCCACAGCACCACGGATGCTACAGACAACTCTAGTACCAGGACATCCGCAGGATTGCTCTATAACTCCATCCATTGGCACTTTCCATTGAAAATAGCAAGCCGAGACCGAGGTGGGTAACCGAGTGTCAAGGAACACCACTTAAGCCAAAATAGCCCCCTACGAGTAACCAGTGAGTGTGTGAGTGGACATGTCAACTGTACTTGGCCCCATGACATCAGCGCCCAACCATGCAAGCATCGCAGACTCAAGAATAGATCCAGGAACCACAAGTGAACCAGGTATTACCTCGGAGTCCCTACCCCCTGGCATCGGTCCACATGGCAAGCTCTCTACCACTGTTTCTTGACAAGACCCCCTTCTTCACTTGAAGTTAAACCCCTATAGCTTCCAGCTATCCATGGATCACGTGCAAATGCCATAGTTCTTGCAAGTTCTTTTTTTTTGTGTTTTTTAAGGGGTATGACTCGGGGTATGGCTCGGGGGTATGGTTCGGGGTATGATTCGGGGGTATGGCTCGCCCAAGCCCCACCTCCCACGAAGACTAAAGAACTGACACGGTAAAAAAACACAGACCCATATTGTTTTTCAGGGACATCTTGCGCGAAACCTCTTTCCACAGGAGATCTGTTATTGGAGCTTCAGAAGGCTTCTGTTTTGAAGAGAGTTGTGCATCTGTTGCGTCTACTATCATGTCACTTGCGTGGGTTCCTGTCTCACTTTGTGACCACTGTTTGGGCTGACTTGGCGAAACAATCTAGGAATCGGACCTCCAAAGTGGGTTTCGAAGCGGTTTTCCTTTTGTGCATTCTTTTCTCATCTCCCAAACGTTGGTACCAAACCAACCAGCCACCAGAGGCGAGAAAGAGAATTCCCGAGCTTCCGGCCCGGATGTCGATGACGAAATCCAAGGGGACCTGGCGAGTCGGCGAAGGGAGTCATCTCAATCCCCGCCTGAGTGGACTGGTCAAGGGATTTCCCCCGAAATGTTGAAATCATCATTTCCGGGTGGGTTCAACCTTGAAACGATCGCCACTATTGAAGGCTCCAGAAGGAAAAATGGAGGAAACCCTGTCAAAACAAGCCTGCCAATGGTCCAAACCAAGGTTGAAAGTCCAGAAACTCAGGAAGCATTTTTTGTTTTATTTGTTCCTTTGTTTGCACGAAAAGAAGAGAAGCTGTTCCTTGGCTCGTTGGTAAAACGGGAATCCGTGCCGTTCTGCGGCTCCTTCTCTGAGGCAAAAGCGCAAGGGCCAATTCCATAGGCGGCACCTCGCGAGCGAGGCGCCCGGACGTGCGTCCTATGGCAACGAATCCAGGATCCATCTTTCAAGCGTGGGTCTCATAAAAGGGCAAAACACAAACACCTCGGACCTCCCCAACAAATCAACCTCTACCAAAAGAAAGCTCCCACCTCCCCAGATCAACCCTCGCGAAGATCTCCGAGAAGAGAAGCTGGCCATTCGCTGAGCTTCCGGCAGGCCGTGTTGAAGCGCCGGCGGTGCAAGTGCACCAGAAACCGCACACCGTCCACCACCTAAACCCGAGCCACCGGTCAAAGTAGGTGCCCGTTCCCCCCTAAAAAACATGCTGGACAGCCACTGTTAGGGTTCCCTCTTTGACTTTTCCAGCCAAACACAAAGCATCCGACATCAACCATTTGAGGATCCCGGTTGGACATGATTTGGTAAGTGGTTCTACCTGGTGGAAATGAGCAGGGCGCCTTACATACTCCTCCTTAGACTTTGTCAGCCATTTCAGCTTTTTACGAAAGTTGAAATTGTGCCATCTCGGTGTTGAAGTCTGGTTTGGAAAAGGTGAGCACACTAATCCCCTTTTGGCTTCTTGGTAGATTGAAACTACATATGGGGGGTGTTTGTGTTAGAGGGTACCATTTGCTTGTCTGGGTTTTAAAGGAAACTGTGTGCGTTTGCCTGGAGGGGAAATCAACAGGCTGTCAGGAATACCAGCCATTTTGTTGGGGGGGGGGAATCCCCCCAAACAGAGATGGGCAATTCAGATCTCACCCACAAAGCCCCCGAGTTTCAGGCGCCATTGCTTTGAAGGCAATCCCGAAGCGCGCCAACCTGGCGAGAACATGACATTTAATCCTTTGATCCTTAAAGTTACCTCCGGAAAACCACCGGGAAAAAAATAATTGTTGAGAACCCCTAAAAGCGAGTAACTTAAAGAGACCCAGTCTGAGGCTGAAACTTGCACCCATAAACTTTCTCTGGATACAGCTTGACCGCCCGGCTGTGGCATTTGGCTGACCTTCGCCCCAGACCCCCTTCAAACATCAACCCCCTGGCGAGCCAGCTAATAGCCCAAAAGTGCGCGCGAGCAAGGCAACCAACTCCTTTCAGTCGCGAAGTGGTGGGGAATGTTGTGGTGGGGAATGTTTCCTAGCGGTATCACAGAAGTTTACATTTTGTAAGTTCTGATTGTCAATGCAACGGAGTTGCCGATCTTGTGGCCCACATTGCTTCGGCGCTGAACAGAAAAGGAAGCTTGCAAACATATTCGCCTAGTCCGCCTAGTTAAGAGATGGTGGCAACTTAGGGTCCACTTTGCAACCTCCTTCTTTTAGGATCTGGATCTTTGGGGCTTTAGGATCTTTAGGGAATTTGGGTCTGCAAAATCGTCGCTACGTTTTTCATGCCCCCCCCCCCCCCCCGCGGTCACACATCGAATCTCGCTTTTGCTTCGCGAGCCAGCACGTGCCTCCTCCCGACAGCTATCGACCTCCCGCCGCAGGCTGGCAATGAGATCCTGGTGATCCCCAAGGCCTTTGCCTGGTCCCAAGCCACCAAAACGAGGCGCCAGAACGACATCCGTTCTTAGCTCGCCTTTGTCAAGGGAACCGTCCGAGAAAAACACAAAAAACACAAAAAAAACGGAGAACAACTTCGGCGGCCAGCGACCAAGTCCAGACATGCCCAATAGCAAGCTTGGTGTTATGTCAAATCGAACCCTAAAGGGAAGCCACCCATTTGGGCTAAACAAAACAAACAAACATCCATTTGAGAAGCATGAGTCCGCCTTTCCTCATCATGAGAGATGTCCACGTTGGCTCCACATGGCCCAAATAATATATATATATATATATGCAACAGAACCAGGTGGTTACGGAGTTTTGAGGCCGTGCGTATGGCTCCTGCTGCTGGCTCATCTCCTGGCTAAGGAGGTTGATGAGGTGCCGGTCCTGATACCCGGCCTGCAAGAGGCGAATTGGCAATCTCTGGCGCGAGTTGGCATGCTCAAAACATCCGCCAGGTGTGGGGTATGGGCGTGGCTCACTCATTCGGATTCCGTATGCTTCCCCTAGCAGGGTTGACCCTGTGACCTGGACCCAATATGTTTGAACATGTCGCGCATGGACAACCGACATGGGATAGGGAGCGAACATGGGCCATGAAAGACGTCACTTCAGGAATGGGGGCTGGCTCCCTTAGGCGTAGTGGCCCGTTGATCCCTTGCTATTCTGAGTGAGATATGTCATTCCCTCTAAACTCTCAAGTCTAACATTGTAAGGGTACTGGGAATACGTGCCACACAAGTTGTCAAACAAGTCGCCAAAAGGAGTGCCCAAACTACAATATATAAGTCACCAAGAAAGTGGCCAACTCACTTGCCAAAGAAGCTGCCAAATGATTTGCAACTCAAGTTGCACATAACTCGCCAAGTAAACAGCAAAACAAACTGCCAAATCACTTGCAATTGACAGCTTGAGTGGCAAGTCATTTGGCAATTTGCTTGGCAACTTCCTTGCCAAATCATTTTGCAGCGTGACTTGGCAGTTTTTTAGTAGTTTACTCGGCGAGCTATTGGCAACTTGATAGGCAATTGATTTGGCAATTGGTTTTGTAGCTTAGATAGCGAGTATGTGCAATTTAATTGGCGAGTGATTTGGCATTTGTTTTACAGCTTACTTGCGATTATTGGCAACTCAATACCTGGCCAAGTAAGCGACAAAACAAACTGCCAAATCACTTGGCAATCAAGTTGCCAATGACTCGACAAGCAAACTACCAAGCAATTTGCCCATTAAATGACTTGGCAATCAAGCTGCAAAATGACTTTCCAAAGACGTTGCACTGGCCAACTTGGCAAGTACGCTACCAAACAAGTTGCCAAATGACTTGCCAATCAGGCTGCCAATAACTCGCCAAGAAAGCTACCAAACAAATTCCCAACTCACTTGCCAATCAAGCTGTGAGCAACTTGCCGAAGCTGCTCAAACATAAACTAGTTACCAAATCACTTGCCAATCAAGCTGACAAATGCCTCGCCAACCAAATTTCGCGGCCGGATGAACAACCGAATGGTCTCTCTCTCTCTCGCTCTCTCGCTGGTTTGTGGGGCCTGGAAAAAGACTGGTTGATCGGCAGGTCCCCTCAAACAGCAACACAACGGGTCTTCCACGCATGGTGATGTGCCAGCATGAGTTGGATGACTTACTGATTTCCAACCAAGAAAGCACAGCCATGCAGTCACCCGCTCGTCTACACGTCATGGAGTGGGGGAGTGGGAGACCACTCCAACAGGACATTTCGCCAGTTTCGGTCAAAAAGGACTTGACCCAGTCTAACGGGTGCCAAAAGGCCGTGCCAGGAAGCTTTGACAAAAGCCAACAGTCGGGCTGGTGGGCTCAAGATACGCCATGCAGCTTCTTCCTCTAAGGCAGCTCCCCGCTCACTCCACCTAACTATGTGTGATGACCCCGTTTTGCTTGCATTGATTCTCAGCAAGTCTCCATCTGGGCTCCAAACCACGCCTTTCGCATCTTTCTTTTTGGTTGCGGAACACCCTTTGGTTTGAAAAGGAGGCCAATAACGACAACTGTCATTTTGGGAAACTCTATTTCGACACATACCCTGTTAAAACGGACCCCTGTACATCTACAGGGAGCTATGCGGACTGCCAACGGGGGGCTGTCAAACCAGCTTTCGAACATCTGGGGCAATATGAAGCATTGGGAACCATGACCCTGTGGCTGTGGGCTGTTCAAGAACTGGCTTTTGGGGCCTTTTAGGGATCCCTAGTTCAAGACACACCCAGCTTGGGGGCCCCTTGCATGCCTCGGCGCCCTCCATGCCATCCATATCCATATCATAGGCTTCCATGGCGATCCAATTCGCGCGCGTCAGCGCGCGAGTTAGTGGATCAATTCAGCTGTGACTGTGCCATCTATTGCAAGCATGCCATTGAGCAAATGACCACCATCCATGTGACTTGAACAGGCATATACAAAGCCACTAATGCTCTGTGTATGTAAGTGTGACATCCATTTTTAGCACAGGCAGCGCATCGCAGTGGAATCTCCCCATGTCACAAGACACGATTTCCGAAACGCTGCCGATGGGCTGCCTTCATGGCAGAAAGGGCTCCTTGCCAATTTTGTGGGGTCTGTGCTTGTCTGCCGTTTCTGGGGCGCTTTGACGCGCAAAGCGTCGGGTTCTGATCTGCAAAACCGCACCAAGTTGCTTCAGGATGGGCGAAGCACCTCCCAGACTTTCAGCTGGTCAGGCAAGCTTTCCCCACATTCCAAGCCACAAGGCCATAGCCTCTGCTTTGTGCATTGACTTGACTCCTTCAGGACCTTTTCTCTCTCCGCCCCCAAATCTGAGACGCAGGCACTAACGATGGCCACAAAGGCACTTCGGGTTCTCCGTTGGGAGCTGGACAGTCACTGTTGGCACTTCGGCTCCTCCGACAGGAAGAAATCAAATCTTGTGGCGGAGTTCACTCTTGACTTTTGCGCAAAACGGGCCACGTCATACCATATGCTTGACTCGTCAGGCGTCCGTACCCATGCGCAGCAAATTCTGTTCCAATAAAACACATTGGCCAACAATGCTCCGCTCGTTCGTTTACGCTGATCGACGCGACCGATCATTGGGTGCTTCGATTCTGGTGAAACAGAACGGCCTCAGTCTCTGACAGGGCTCAATGAATGCTACAGGACCTTCGGAGCAATTGGTGGGACCTCTTGCATGCTTGCCTTTCTTTTTTCTGGACTCGGCGCTTTGAATCACCTGCCATGTTTATCTGCCCCGATTGCAAGAACCAAATCCCATCCGCTCAAAGATGCATCGGCGTTGGTTCTCCAAACCGCCGGGCCATGCGAGCCAGCGAGCTAGTCCCATCCAGGGCTCACCGAGCGTGGCCGCGACACCTGCGTTGCGAGTGGCGAGATGTCACAATCGCAGGCCGTCTGTACACCAAAAACCACCAAGAAATGCACCATTCTCCGCACCCGCGGAAGATCTACTTCCGAAAATTACGAAGTAGCCGAAGCTTCAGAGCAGAAGGAATCCACACACCTCACGTGGGTGTTGTGTTTTTTTGAGGTTATGTCCTTTCTTAACGTGGTCTCAACGGAAAGCCGAAAGGAACACCGAAGCCTTCTTTGTGCGTGTCTACACCCAACGGCCCAAGTATGCCCATCCGCCTCAGTATGGGAGCTGGCACGGGCTCGGCCAGGCCGCTCCAGAGCCACAGCGCCTGCAAAAAAACAAAAACAGAAACAAGAGGCGGGCTTCAGGCACCACCAAGCTCCCCACAGTCCCACAATTGTCCAAGCCGTGATGATGCTTCTTACTGGTGTCATGGTTGCTGGTGCGATAGGTAGGGAATGACCTTCCGGGTGTTTCAGCCACCGGGAATCCACATGACCGAGGTGGTTGAACATGAACCGTGCTGGGATTCCCGAATAAAGGGCACCAATTCGAGGATGGTTCTTCTCGGGGCCTTCCTCGTGCCCTGAGACCAGCAAATAACAGGCCGTGAGGAGCTCTTGGTCCTGATGGGGAGGTGCCCACTGGCGGCTCTTTGGTTCTCATTCAAACTTCCCGCGATTTATAACGCTATCCTGGTGTTTCGGGGGGGGGGGGACAGGGGGGGAGGTGGGGGGTGGGGGGTGCTTTGGGGGACCGGATTTCCTCCTTCAGTTTGAACATGGATTCTGCTGGTTTTCGCCTTGGTTCCTTCCAAAAAGCACAGGCCGAGGCCTAAACCAGTTTTGTTGGTATGGCTTGAGCATTCCCAAGGTCATGTTTTACCGAGGGAAGACTTGTCCCATGCATGCTCTCTCGAGCACTGCAAGACTTGAAACCGCAAACTCCCCGCCGGAAGAAAGTCCAAAACGGTTCTTGCAAGAAGAACATCCATTCCTGGAGGCTGCAATCCCTCCTTTCGTAGGTTGCAAACCCGCTTCAAAGAATCGGGGCTCGTGCCCACTCAGACTTTCCTCACCCAACGGCGGGGGAAGGTCTGGTAGACTTGAGGTTGGGAGCGTCGGACAAACACGCACGAGCGGTCTGACAAGGCCAACCATGGGGGGCCACCCAATAAAGTCAGGGAGGGCAAATGCCGCCCACGCATGAGACAAGTTGGGGGCATCCCTGGTGCCTGAATCCGGAACTAAATCAAGCAGACCTCTTGTGGGTGTCCCCTTTTTTGAGGGTACCTGGTTCCCGTGCCGTTTTTGATATGGGTGTCCCTTTCTTTGAGGGTACCCAGTTCCCCGTGCCGCTTTTGAGGAAAGTTTCTAGGAAAATGAAAGGTAAACTAGTGAAACTGGATTTTGCCCAGTTTCCCCTAGACTAGGTAACCAGCTGTTGTCCGTTTGCTTTCAAAGGGCTGGTTTCCTTGGTCGCCTGAAATGCAATCTCCGGGTTTGAAGGAACTTAAGGGTTTCCAGACCCCTTCGAGGCCGGGCTCCGGACCAAAGTCGCTCATGCGCGCAAGGGAGATGCCTCGGTTGGGATCCCCTGCCTGGGTTGGCTGGCCAAAGCGGTCTTCTGAAACTAGGTCCTCCAGTAGAGAGGATAGAATCAGGGTACCGTTTCCTTTTTCTGTGGTCTATTTTAGTAGGGGAACCGAATTTCCCAACCAAAAAAGAAACCGTAAAAGGGCACTGCTGGGAGATCCGCAATTCGCGGGACCAGGCAAACCTTGGCCAGGCGTAAGAGTTAAGGATTTGTACAGGCGAAGAATGCCTGGGTTTTGGTTGTGCTGATTGGCTAAGGTTGGCTTAGGGAACCTTTGCCAGAATCCGCCTATTTAACCTCTTTGCCTTGGAGAATTCATAAAATGCCGTGGGCAATGCTCCATGGCGGATTGGATTCATGATCATGGCAAGGTGAGCCAAACCCGCGCTAACCGAAGGAAACTTGCCGGCCCTTCATATACAGGCAACAGCAGCCACCAGATGCCTCCATTTGCTTAAGCCCCCTGAGGAAAGATCAATTATGTCCAGTACTGACAGAAATTGCTAAAGTCAAGAGTGGAAGATCAATCACATATTCTTAAGCAAATGGATCAATGTCAATCAAATTGTGTAACGAACACAATCATTTGCAAGCGCCTCTCGACGCTCCCTCAAACAATCAAGTGCAAGGCCGCAAGCCACCCAACGTTGAACTTCTCCCAGGGCAAGAAAGAATCCCAGGGGTCGGCCATCTCCCAGTCCATCTACGTGTCTTAACATAGACCTGGCACTCCCAGGGCCCAAACCAGGCGTCCCTCACCCAGGACAGGTGCAGAGCTTAGGGTTCTGAGCACCCGCATGCATCTTCACCCACAGCCGCGTTTGCCCGCCTTCCTCTTCGGCTGCTTTTGATCGGGCCTGCTGAACCTGGGCGCAGCATCTGTGAAAGACACATGGCGTTAACTTGAAGGACGCGGAAATGAGCAGGAGTCAGGCGAGTCAGGTTCAGGTTCCGTGCGACTGAGGAGAAACCCCAACTTGAAACACAAAAAACCCACGTGCCAGGGGGGGAAATCGCTGACAGTGCGTCATCGTCTTCATAATGGAGAGTGAACACATAAGGAGGGGCAAGCTGGCGCATAAAGGCAAACTATGAGCCTCATTTGCGAGTGTGTGATGCACATATGTTCACCACCTTCGTTTGAGTCATCAGTATTAATACCTCCAACCCAATAAGATGGAACCGTGAAAAAAAGAGGAAAGTAATCTTCCAGGACCCTCCAGTCAGGTTCTACGTTTAGGCAGTTCACAGATCAATGAACGACCAGAACCTGGGATCCCGGCAAAAGCTTTGATCGAAGCAATCTTGATCTCCATCTGCCTGGCATGGCTTGGACTCTCACATGGCTCTGGCCTTCCGAATTGAAATCCTTCGTAAGGTCCGCGAGACATGGCGCATGATTAGACAGATCTGGGACCAATGCAATCAGAATTCACAAACCGAAGTGAAAACTTGGCCATGAAAGGATCGAGCCTTCATCATGGCTCCCAAACCCCTTTGCGACGTCTCTACATTTCGGCCATCACTTCACGAAAACAGACCGCACTGCACGTCAAATATTTTTTGGATCTTGAAGTCGGACTCTCCCTGTGAGCCCCGAGACCTCCCCCCGCCCCACTTAGGTTTGACTCATTTCCTTCGCGTTTGGCCAAATTTGCTCCAGTTGCGTCACAGTCAAACCTGGCTTCAAAACGGTCTACCCAAAGCCATAAACACATCACAGGGCGGCCGCCCCCATCTATGACTGGGACTGTCCACCACATAGGATTGCTTGTGGTCACCTGCGCTAGGCCTGTTGTGCCACGGCCAGCCTGTTCCGCCGCATCAAGTCGTTGTAGTATTTTCCTGCCTGAGTGCGAGCAGCTCCCACGGTGCTGTGTTTATGTGGGACACGAGGCTTTTGGTGATGCCAACGTGGGCATTCCCTGTGACAGTCTCGCTTTGAATGGGATTTCCTGGATATCGCAGAAAGTGGCCCCAAATTTTGAATGGGATTTCCTTGATATGGGTATGGCTCAAAAAACAGGTACCAAAATGGAACCCTGGCAAGCGGAAACATGGACCAAAACCTGCGGAACCCTAGCCCTTTAATGTTGAGCCACTGCCATATCGCAGAAAGTGGCCCCAAAGCCAAGCTTTCGCAGCTTTCACAATATTTCACAATAACTAGCGTCTGCGACCGTTACAAACGAAGAACCCCTGGCGAGTATTGGTCAATGCAAGAGACAGTTTCAATCAACCAACGACTTGTAAATTCAGGCCTAAACGTGCTACCAACAAAGCCATAGATGTTAAACGGCTTTGGCGCGCCTTACGCCGCTCCCAAGGCTGAAACTCAAAGGGGCTGGAGAGTTCAGGCTATGCCTGCGGAGACTCTGCGATCCTTTGAAACACATTTTGCCAAACCGGCAGCTTGGCTATGATTGGCCTCGGCCTTGAGGGACCGAACAAGGACCGCCCATAACACAAAGGCAGCCGGGAGCTGTTCTCTTCGCACAACCCTTGGCCAAACAGCCCTTTTGTTTCCCGGCAACCAAAAACGATCAGCGACGCTGGGTTTTGCGAGTAAAACCATCCCCCCACTGGGCCAGGATTTTTCCCCGTTTCAACATCATCCACCAAAAGGAAACTAAGCTCAGCAGGAATGAAACAGGTGATGTTGCACACGCGGAGCTACAAGGATCCCCCCCCCCAGATCATCACAACACCCACAAGCTCCCTAAACTCCGGAGGTTCCCGACCTCCAGTGACCATATCAAAAAAACAAAAAAACCAACTGGAGGTTCCTTGAAAGTTGATTTGAGTTGCCTTACTTCTTCTGGAACTTGAGGTCAACTCACTAAAACCGTTTAAACCCTTTTTGGAGGTTGTGTTGATTTTGGCGACGTTTCGCCCAGAGAAAAGCAGGACATCACCAACCACAGGGCACCGGTGGATGTCTGCCAAATGGCTCTGCTCTCCAACTCCACGGGCTCTTCCTCGATGGAGGTCATCCGAGCTTGCACGCGGCTATCAGAGGTCGCCACCTCTCCGTGGCACTGGCTTGGGTTTCATTTCTTTGGGGCTGCCACCTTTTGGCGGATTTGAAAGGGGAACCAAAAGGAATCCTTTGTGTACTGTAGTTGGTTCTCCTAGAAGCGAGAACCGACTTCTTCCCAACCGGAAGGCGTTCAATTTGAATTCTCCCCCGCTGCACAACCTGTAAGCAAAAGGAAACGCCGCCATTTTGGGGGCCCCCAAGTCGTGCCGCATATTGAATGTGGAGGTCACAAGGGGCCCTTAGTGGCTGGTTGTGTTCGATAGAATTGCCATTTCTTGTCACTGCGGGCATTCCGGAACCTCAAGTCACCTCAGTTCTCATTTATTGTTCCCCATTCTTTGCAGGGATCCTTCTTTTCAGGAAACCATCAAAAACCCAGGGCTGGAATTGTGCTTAAATAGCATTCCTGAGTTTCCATCCGCGAAGGAAACCAAGGTCATCCTAGCGCATTCTTCCCGGTCCGGCGCCTCCGGCATGTTGTCTATGATGTCCACCTCGCGAAAAGAAGGATGGAACGGCTGAGAAGAACCCACAGCCTGGTGAAGGAAACCAGAACATACAAATAGGTGCTTCTCAACATGACCCTCCGCCCAGACTCAAACCACAAGCTGAACCTACTTGGAGCGGGCGAATGCCTCTTTTGGGACACACCGATATCACATTCCGAGCCAAGTCAGCCAAACCACAAAAGGCGTTCGGGGGAGGGGGAACAAATAGAGGCAGGTCTCAAAATAGGGGACCCCATCCAAGCGGCATGTCTCTGGAGTTCCGCTGGAGTTCCACTTCAGAGTTGCGCTGAACGTGCCATTGCTCAAACTTTCATGGGGAATGTCAAAATGGTGCCACGGCTGGCTTCCCTATGTCCTGCCTTTAACTCCAAAAGGCGTCTCAACTCCACCCAAAGCCCTTCCTCCCCCCCCACATTCAGAATTTCAGGGTTGTTCCCTTGATGATGAACCAAAAGCTGGTGGCACCCAAGCACCCAAGGACCCTGATCCCTTGATGTTGGCATGAACCAAAGCTGGCACCCAAGCAGGGACCCTGGACCAACCCAGGCTCTCGGCTCGGCTCGAAACCCGCCATCGGCATGGGCCTCTCTGAGCTGCTCCGAGACGGCGCGGAAGCAGTCCTGACACCTTGAGCGCCAAAAGGGCGCTGGAACAAGCTGTGAGTGACGTGTGCGCGTGGGCGAATTTCTTGAGGCTACCTTTTGGAAGATGTACGCGAGTGACTGAGTGACTGAGTTTCTTGAGGGTATGTGTAAGTTGCATAAAAGGGAAGCCACAAGAAAACCCATCACTTGGACACGCCCAAAGTGACATTTTGGCAAGCGCTCCAGTGGCGTGCAGCTGCTCAATCAACATGTGTAGCCTGGCGAAGTTGTCAACACCTGTGCAAACATTCCTCCCGCACCCCGCACCCGCAACTTGGAAGCAAAGTTGCCCGAACTAGAGGTCCCACAGGGGTTCGCTGGTGAAATTTGTCGCGTACAAACATCCTCACCCCCCAATACCGGTAACCTTAAAAGGGTCAACAGTCCTGCGCCTCAGGAGGCGCTGTTACCCAGAACAGGCACGCATAGCTTGAATGGGAACGAACCAAAGACAGCAACCAGCCTCTGATTGCCCACCCATTCATCCGGAAGTGGCCGAGCAAGATGCGGTTCACACATAGGGGTCATTTGTGCTTTGCTATATAGTTCAAAACAAAAGCACCCGTCTTAGGGATTGCAACTCGGGTCTTGGTTGCGGACCCTTTGGTGCGTATTCGAGATACATGCGGGTACAGTGGGATTCATTTTCACCAACCGTGTCTGGAAAGGAGATTCAAGCAAGCATGATAGCTTCTACCGCAGCTTTTTCTGCCAACCAACTCACTATGGGTGTGGCCCCAAGAAACAAGACCCAGGGTTGTGCAAGTTCCACTCGTTGTTTCCATTTACCAAGGTGCCATTTTGGGTTCGGTTCGTCTGTGGTCATTAAACCCATCCCTTTGGACCCTCCACATACCTTTTGCGGATGTGCAGCAGGCCTTACGCTGTTGGTAGCAAGCTCCTCCACCTGCAGGAAAGGCTCGTAGGAAAGCACTTGCGCATGTAAGGGGAGCTGTTCCCTTCAACTCGCTGCCCCAAAACGGCACCAACTCAAAGGAACAAGGGCAGCACTGAAGGTCCTGGATGGCAAGAATTCACGACAGGCGCAGGCTGATTTCTGCAACTGAGTCACATCTGCACTGATCACTGCCATTCAACTGTTAACCAAGATGGCCTGCCCCTTTCAGAGCCGTCCGATTCCAAAAGGAGATTGCTCAACAAATGCGCTAAGTCAGTGGGCTTATGTGAGAGCTACGGCAGTTTGTTGCTACATGGCTGAATGGTTGGGTAGTCCCACCTCGTTCTCCATCCCTGCACCCAGTTGGACGCATTGACCTCGTTTTCCAATTGCCGCATGTGTTTGTGATCTCGACCAGCCAAATATGGCATTGCCTACCTCGTTTTGGGGGTGTTCCTACCTCGTTTTGCACCTGGCTCAGAAAATGATTCCACCCGGCCTTTGCTGTAGTCTTCTGCAATACTTAGTAAATGAAGGCAGTCGCTGCAACGTCCATTGGCAATCAAAATGGGTGCCCTGGTCTTGGGCCGCTCAGGTTTCCAGAAGAGCTAAGCAGAGCTAGTGGGAAACAAACAAACCTGCAACTTCACAAAATGGCGAACCAACTTTATCCCTTTCATTCACCCAGTTCTCACACAAAGTGGCAACCTCATGCTCAAACTGGATGGACAGCTGAGGTTTTCTGCCAAAAGCTCCAAGGCTAGGTGTCCTTTCTCAGAACAAAAGTAGATAAATTCCACTTGTAAATAAAAGAAACCGGGATGATTCTAGATTACCCCTCTTACATACTCTTTGGGACATTTACCCCAAACGGCATGCTGCTTTTTATACCCGTGCATGTATAGAGTATTATATAATGTATCCCAAGACAAAGAGGGTGGGAATCAAAGAACCGAGGAACCAGTAGGAACAAGGTGTATGTATATCTCTGCACTCCCGCTCAAAAACTTGGTCAGAAAGTACATCTGTGGGCCCTTGCGCGTGTGGAAAATAACCTGTTCCGTGACGCAAGCATGGCCCATCCTTAGAACTATATCACTTCAACGGGGATACCCTTGGCATTACGGAAACTGACCTTAAGCTCACTTCCTTGGTGGGGTGGCCACCAAGGCTCAAACTTTCTTGCCACGAACATGAAAATGGTCTTATCCCAGCAAGCATAAAGTCCAGAAACTGGGGAAGTGAGTGGCCAATTAAAACCCACTTTCCACAATACCTGCGGGTCCATGCGCTTTGGCGTCGAAAGCATTCTTCGCGCCTCCAAGACCAGGCGCCGCATAAGACTTTTGGCCACCGCCACGTCTAGGCCCTGAACGGGACGCCTCGGGTACCCGAGCAGTGCGCGTGAGGCAGCGCACGCTTCCAATGACTGCGCAGCGTCCGCGCATCTTCCGCTGGCTTCCGCGGCACGGCAAGTGCGCAATTTCTGTTGGGCCTTGATGGGGTAAATGAAAAGCTTTGTTTGCGCGTTCCCGCGCGATGATTCTCTGAAAGCCTGTCGTTTCTGGCACGCAGGAGTTCCGGGTTGGGCGAGCGGGCGTTCCTCCAAATCACGGTTGTTTCTTCAAAGCTGACCAAATGAAGAAAAACAAATCCCGCATACGTGCTTCTAAAGTCCAAAAAAGCAACTCGCTTGAGCCAAGTAAATCCATGTACTAGTAGTTAGTCATGTTGCTTTTGCGACCTCACAAACGGGGATGGAAAATGCAAAGCTGGCGCCATGATGAGCAAAGAGTGGGTCAAGCTGGTGCCTGGATATGGCTTGCATCTATGGGGCATCTAAAGATGCACGGGTCCGTTTCTACCCGAATTTGCTTTTGGTGCTGTCCCAAGCAAATTGGCAAAACACGTCTGAGCCAAAATAATTCGTGTTAATTCTTCATTGTGTTTGCCACGTGTGAGCTTGCGGGTGAGTCAGGCTGGTCCTCGGCATGTGTTTTGCGGTGCCAGAAAACAATTTGTTTGGGCCAAAAAAACTGTTGATTATTCTCCCTTTTGTTGGTTTGATGTTGGTGCAGTCCATGATTTTTGACCCCAGCGCCAACAAAAATAATTTGTTTGCGCCAAACCAATCGCTTCTAGTTTTTGCGACTTCACAAAGGGGGATGGGAAATGTGAGGCGGGCACTCCCATTGGCTAGAGGCCCGGAGTTGGTGCGCTGACGTGGTTTTCAGCCACGGTGCCTTTTAGATGCAAGGGTTTGATGACTCCCTGTCTTGCTTTCGGTATAAACATGTTTTGTTTGGCCAAACATTGGCTTGCATGTTGCGAGGTTATGTTTTTCTCCAGGAACCAGTCGCCAAACAAAAAAAGTGCTTGAGCCAACTAAATTGTCCATTCTTGTTTGCCATCTGAGAAGCTTGCAAGAAGTCAAATGCAGATCAGAGCTTCTGCGGCAACAACATTAATATGCTTCGCACAAGCTTCTGCAAGCTTCCGCGCCCTGAACCAATCCTTCCACGGAATCCCATTTTGGCAGCCCAAGACTAAGTTTGTTCATAGAATTTGTCATCGCCACTCACCTCGGACCCAAAAACCTAGCAACAAAATGAGGATTCCAGCTAGACTTGGAGAGCCTGGACGCCTGTCCGATCGACCTGACCGGTCGACTTGGGGACGCTTGGCAGTTTCAGGTGGCTGACGCGGTCTCGACTTGCCAACAGGACTCCCTACATCTCCGTTAAAAAGCATTACCCCAAAAGGTGGTATCCAACTCAGGTACAGGAGGAAACATGGCTTGTTTCAAAATGGTGGCCCCAAGTGGGGCCCAATTTCCCTTTCCTTTGGCTTTCGTCAAACACACCGAGGTCAGGTCTTCATGCGCATGATGGCCTGCATGAAGTCGTGCACCTGACGCAGAAGTCACGCCCATCCAATAAAGGTCACCAGATTCATCCCTGGAACGAAGCCAGGATCTGGGTAAGCTGCAATCCCAACCAACACTTAGACTAGAGGCCCTTGGAAGGCCAAGGACCACCTACCAGGGACCTTCTGGT